TAAGGAGCCAAAGAAGGAGACAATGGTTGGAAAACAAAGATCAGTGAATCTGTTTCTCTTCTGTTTGCCTAAGAAAGAATAAGGCTTGATCACAGCTCAGATACTGATGGTTACACAGGTGTCTTACTCCTCTATGCAGGATAGATATCTGAAATGAAGATGGATTCTATCCCAGTACTGCATGGTCTCCATATTCTATCTTGAAACTCCTTGCTTCTACTTGAGCATAGTAGAAGAGACTCTATGCAGTGTCAGATCCATCAGCACAGAAAAGCATCTTTGACCTAAGGTAGGCCCATTCAGGCAGATCAAAGCTATCAGTGTCAGTATCTTGGTTACAACAGGAGACAAGTAGAAAACGTTTAGGGGTAGAGACACATTCTGAGCCATACCCTCCCTGCAGTGGCAATTCAATAGCTTTAAAAGCTGAGTGTGAGAAGAACAAATCTAGTCTTTGTGCACAGCTGCATCAACAAGGGAGACACATGCACACATGCGCAGGCACATAATGAAACAACAGCTTCCCAGGGGTGCCAAGGGAAACAAGAGCAGGTAACTAAAAGGCCCGAAAAGAACAGGAGGCTGATGAGCCATGGAGGAGAATGAAAATCTAAAACTGATCCATGACAGTCATATGAAGATGTAAACACTTTTCAAAGTCCATTGTGGTTTCCTCTCTCCATAAATTATCGCCATTATCTCCTAATTACCACCTTCTACCCTTTGGTGCCTTTATCAGTTTCTCTTTTGTTGATTTGTATCACAGGGGTACTTGTGATAAGATTCCTCTTAACAACTGCAGACACTGTATCTCTACATGTACTTATTCCATTTGCATTACTTGACTTGCCTGGCAATGCTACTGTCCTTCAAATTATTTCAGATGAAGGCCGAGGGGGAATGAGACTACCTAGCTAGGACTACAACATCAACATTCATTTGGCAGTGAGTCATGACCACTTAATCACCAATGAGACCTCATCACTTCTGTTTCTTTTTGATCAAAATGTTGTGCTGTATCACACCTTGGCTCATTCCAGGATAATACATTTCAGGCTCCATAAACCACAGAATCACAGAATGGCCTGGGTTGCAAAGGAGCACAGTGCTCATCCAGCTCCAACCCCCTGCTGTGTGCAGGTCGCCAACCAGCAGCCCAGGCTGCCCAGAGCCACATCCAGCCTGGCCTTGAATGTCTGCAGGGATGGGGCATCCACAGCCTCCTTGGGCAACCTGTTCCTCTGCATCACCATCCTTAATTAGCTGAATCCCACAGATTTATAACTAATTCCAGGGTTTAGAAAAGGCCTGCAAAAACATCTAGCCCAACTCCCCTGTCATGGGCAGGGACATCTCCCACCAGACCAGGTTGCTCCAAGTGCCATCCAACATGGCCTTGATCCAGAGATGGGGCATCCATAGCTTCCCTGGGTAACCCATGTCAGCATTTCACCACCCTCATCATGAATAACCTCTTCACTCAGAGGGTGGTGAGGCACTGGCACAGGTTGCCCAAGGAGGCTGTGGATGCCCCATCCCTGCAGGCATTCAAGGCCAGGCTGGATGTGGCTCTGGGCAGCCTGGGCTGCTGGTTGGTGACCTGCACACAGCAGGGGTTGGAACTGGATGAGTACTGCGCTCCTTTGCAACCCAGGCCATTCTATGATTCTATGATTCTTAATCAGTTTCTACATGGCAGAAAGTCCACTGAGGACTGTTGACAGCTACAAAAGAGTCCAGCAGAAATTTGTGCAGCTCCACAATAAAACAGAGACAAAAACTAGAACAAAGGGAGACTGATAATACTAATATAAGAAATAGTCTGGTCTCTCCTCCTGGAGAAGCTGAGGAATCATTCCTCTTCCACTTTTCTTTTCAGCATTTGGCTTTCATTATCTGTCCTTATCACTTTAATTCCCTCTCTAGAGCAAAGGAGTCAGATTCTGGGTCCTGCTGAGATCTCATTTTCTTCAAATTCTGTTTTTCAAGCATACTTTGTAGGTGATGGCTGGACAGGTTTGTACACATAGGGTCATCACATGCTCCTTATTTCTTTTCATACAAAGGCATCTGAAGAATTTAAAGCATTTAAGAGGAAACAGACAACATAAAATAACAGGAAAAAAAGAAATAGGAAAAAAGAAACAACAGAAAATCTCAACGCAATCGGTTTCTGAAGCACTGCAGACAGAGCCAGCAGCAGGGGGGGGGAAACACTACTGTGAAAGATAAAACAGTAATGAGCATAACAGCTGGGCAAGAGAAGCAGAGTGGGAGAAAAAGGTGAAAGCATCAGAGCCGTGATTCTTTAGGGCTGGCTGTTTTCTCTAATAGAGCACCATCCTTGCTTTTCACGACCCATGGTTACAGTTGTAGCTTGAAAACTGTGTTCTGTTGGACCTCATCCAGATGAGCTGTGGAGAACCATTTAGTTTATGTCTGCATTCACAGATGCTGAACACAGCAAGGGGCAAAGCAAAGGCAGGAGGGTTGAGTTATTGCAAAATATAGGAACTTATAAGATGTTCTTCCACTTCTAACTTGGTAGTGCATCGCATTTCATGCCATACTTTTTGCTACACGAAACATTGCTGCAGAGAAATGGACAACAGAATCTACTATTACTATCATTAATTTTTACCCCATGTAGTAGGAGTTGTAGAATCAGAGAATCAGAGAATCATCCATGTTGAAAAAGACCTCTGAGATCATCTAGTCCAACCAACAACCCAATCCCAGCACACTAAACAACTCTCTGTGACATAACTGTTCTAGATATTTTAGATTACAATACTAGATACAGATTACACAGTTTGGGTTTGTGTTTTACATGCAGTTATTTCACTTTTTATCACACGTAATAGAAGACTATGGAGCTACATTGCTTTCAGAGCAAGGTAGTATAGTTTAGCTCATTGGCGCAGTACCTGCCATCATTAATATCTTACTGTTAAAAACAATTAAGAAAAGGTTACTACCTCTTCATCATATTTGTTCAAGCAATGCTTGGTGACTTACAAGACAGATTCAACTATGGTGACCATTTCACTAAGACTGGGAGCAAAAATGCTTTAGAAGTAATTGGGTGCTTTCCAAATACTCATTGTGGGAGGAGTATGTCATACTGTACATCACTTGCTAGCAGTCACCAGCAAGGTGTTCTTCTAAACAGAGTAAGCAGTATGTCAAAGTTTTTGAGAAAACAGGTCTGTTGATGTCCCATCCTGCAATAATGGTGATAACGCCTTGTTGGAAATGAGAGTGGCAGGATACAGCTTAAAATAAGGATCAGACTTCAAAATCAAGTCCAGAAGATGAGGGCTTAAAAGTGATAGAGTGGGATGTTACAGTACTAGCACTGAAGATGAAATGAAATACACGTAAAACACTTCCACAAGAACTAATGAAGATATGGAGAAATGGCAGCAAAGATGATCCTTTGAAAGAAATGGCTTTCAAGCAAGAAAAAATCCAGAATTTTTCACTGGAAAGCAAACATCTCAGATGAAATGTGGTTTCTTTTCCTGAAGTCCTGTATACAGTAAAACTCACTGCCTTCAGAAGTGGTGAACAGCAGAAAAAAGAGTGGGCAAATTTATGAAACTCAAATTCATTGCCCCTGTGCATTCAACAGTTCTCTTCCCACTGCAGAGGCATCACCTGTTTACCTTCATGTATTATTCAAGAGAAAAGAGAAAATGTGAAGCAATGAGCGAAGAGCCCCTCTTCACTTGACACATGCCCCAGAAGATAAAAGCATAGTAAACCTGGGAAAAGTTGATGGAGCCAAAAAATAGATGGGGAACAAAATAAAGAGCATTACCACTTTTGCTGAGGTAGTGCTTGAAAGGATGTAATCTTTCCCTGCCCGTGTGGGTGACACATTTTCATCACACTAAGATGCAAAAGGCTTCCCAATGGCACTTGACCTCCTCTATTTCTGAGCTGTGCACTTTGAATTTGAGACAGGTAGGACACGGAGTTTGATTTGAATAGTACCTGAGTTACCAAAAAGCAGAGGGTTATTCTGGATGTGAGTTACAAAGAACAAGCTATGATGAAATGGTCTGTTTTGACCCTAAGGGTGGGTAGTTAGGGTAATATGGTTAGGTTGTGCTTGGACTTGATGATCTTGAAGGTCTTCTCCAACCTGAGCAATTCTATGATTCTATGATTCTGTTATCTGCATCATACCCTCTCTTGCTCCTGGGCTAAAATATGTAGGCAGGTAAAGAGGAGGGAGATCTCCCCTCTTTTCTGACACACACAGAGCATGTTTTATCTGCAGTTCTCAGCAGTTTTACCCATTCAAGTCACAGCAGAAGCGTTTTGGACACGACTCAGAAAATAAGCCCTGATTTCCAATTAGCTGCTTTGTCATTCTTTGCCCTTCTCTCATTGGTGCTGGCCATCGGCAGCTCCTGCTGCAGTCAGTGGGAAACGAGACAGGATATTAAAGCATTAATTTCTTCACTTGCTGCCTCAGTTTCTTAGCACTCTTTATCAAGGTTACAGTCACCACAACATTAATCCCTGTGATAAAGGTCTTCAGATCGTGTGACAGAGAGGCAAAAATTATTACTGACGTAATGAGGGGGAATGAGCAATTGCTGTTGTAGAGCACTTGAAGCACTTACAGCCTAATCCCCCAGCAGCCCCAACATCCTATCAAGACATTTCCTTCCAAGGCACACTGATTCTTGTTGCTGTTGTCGTTATGGTTTTGATTCATTTGGTCACTATATGTCACTGCATCACCTAATGTATGGAAGCAAATCCCTGACCTCTGATAATAACCATCTATCAGCATAGTGTGTGTCCATTGATTGATTTTTTTTTCTGTCCTTACAATGTCTCTTTAAGCTTCAATAACTGCAGTGATGGCACTTTTTCCAGTAAGACGTTTGCAATGACATGGCTGGAAAACCCTGCAGGCATAACAGAAAAGGTCTGGAAACCCTCAAATCAATGCATATGGCATATCCCAAGCTGAAACTCACCTGGAGAAGAGTCATTAAGAGGGTTCAAAGCAGCTGCCCTCCGTATTTTCTCCAGACAGGTTTCTTGCTCCTTTTTAATTATGCAGTTAGAATGTGTTGCTGTAACCTGAAATGGGAAGAAAAAAATGTGGTGAAAGAGCAGTAATAAACGTAAACTAGCTGGAGAGCTTATGAAGAGACATTGGGAAGTTTTGATGTTCCCTTCCAGAAAGAAGAAAGTAATAAAATCTTTAATAGATGAAACTGCAACAGACTTCTTGATGTTTATTTGTTTGTTCTAGACAGAAAGCTTAAGAGTGTTCCTAAGACTGTTTTTAACGCTGCCCTCTATCAAAGTGCAATCTGCAATGTGTTTGCTTTGCTTTATTGCATTTCTTCCTCATATAAAGCAGAAGCAAGGTTACCTCTACATAAAGAAATAATGTAAAGAGGAATCAGAAATCATTTGAGGCTCTGTTTGATCTTCTGCCACTTTCTTATGAGTCTCACACTATCCATTAACCTCACTCAGGACCCTAAACTAAATTAAAGTTCTTGCTCCCAGTCTTTCACCTCCTCCATTCTTTAATGCTTCCTTCTGCCTTTCTTTCCAATGAATACAAGGCAGCTTGCTTGCCAAGACCGAAATGCAATGCCAATGCAACTGAAATGACTCGATCCAAAACTTCTTTTCTATCTTTACGGCTTAAGGCAGCCCACTGCAATAAAAAAAAGAAAAAGAAGAGACAAAAAAAAAAAAAAAAAAAGAATGTATAAGAGGAACATTGTGGCCAACAGAACGCAGGCAATCCCAAAGCAGCAACAAACTGAAAATGGGACCCGTTCTCAGAAATCAATAAAAGATTTCATTCCTGCTGCAGAAAGTGGCTAGGGAATATCAGTTCAAGGAAAACACAATCTCAGATTTCATTAGACCATTTCACAGGGGTACTGCTAAAGTTCCAATCAAACTCAGTGGAAAGTCTCATGAAAATCCACACGCTGGTTGAAGATGGGGTAGGTCAAACCAGCTCACTGCAAGCTACTTGGTTGTTCTGTATTTCCCATCCCATTTTCTTCACTCTAGATAACGGAGGATAACTTAGGAGTGGTGTGTATCTGCCAAGTGATAAACAGAAACAAGCAAGTAGGGAAAACAACACCTGAATCCAATCTGTTTCTGTTTATTTTTGGAATCCCATCCACACAGGTTGCCTTTACTTCCCTCACAACACCATAGATGGAATGGAGGGAACGGTTTGGGTCATTAATGCATCAAATACCAGCACACACTTTATAAGGGTAGATAATGGCAGGACAAGAGGAAAAGGTTTTAAGTTGAAGGAGGGAAGATTTAAGTTGGATATTGGGGGGAACCTCTGTACTATGAGAGTGGTGAGGTGCTGGAACAGCTGCCCAGAGAGGCTGTGATGCCCCGTCCATCCCTGGAGGTGTTCAAGGCCAGGTTGGATAGGGCCCTGGGCAGCTGGTCTAATATTAAATGTGGAGGTTGGTGGCCCTGCATGTGCTGGGGGGGGTTAGAGATTCATCATCCTTAAGGTCCCTTCCAAGGCCATGCTATGATTCTAACACATGCTTACAACACATCCCACAGCATACACAACCCAAGTGTGGTTATACTTGGTTATGCTCTTCTGTATGCAAAGAGGCAGGGACCCACTTGCAGACTTTTGGCATTGTAACAGTTACCAACTCTACCACAAAGAGAGGATGTCACAATGAACCTCTAATGGAAAGCCTTCCTCACCACTGGAAGGAACTGCTATTGCTACACAGTTCCACCTCCAAAATCCCAGCAATAAATTTAAGCCCTTTGCCCCATGGGACACACCAAGCACAACCATATTAGAGTTGTTTTTCTTCAAAACAAAACACTTTCTGTTTTAAGGGCTCCCAAGGGCCTGGAAAATATATCCTGTCACAGACCTCTACGATCTCTCAAGAACATAACGGTTTTTACTACATCATCCCCTGAATCTCACCAAAGACAGGGAAATTTCTTTGGTCACACAGCTGCCCATGTCTGAAAGGAGTGTCTGGGAGCTGTATCAATATAAGAACTTCACACTTTCTATGCAGTTCAGCATGTACAGATTACAAAAGCTTTGATTTTGTAGTTGTCAAACCTGCAGAGGCAGAATACAAAGAAACAATAAGAGATGTCTCTTTACATGTTTATTGTTAAGCTGCAGAATTCTCTGCAGCTTCGTATCATCGATGTTGAATGTCCATTGGAGTTCACAACATATCAAAGGATGGATGGATTCAAAGTCCATCACAGGATACGAAACATCAGAAACCCACCACGCCCAACTTCTGGCCCATGGAAGTAGAGAAGAAGATTTAATTTAATCTATAATCAAAGGACAGAAGAGTGTGATTTGCCTTTCAATGTTTTGCATCTTCTTTAGTCAGTAGGGACCTTTGTGTGCTGATGGGCAGTCGGCTGAATATGAGCCAGCACTGTGCCCAGGTGGCCAAGAAGGCCAATGGCATCCTGGTTTGGGTCAGGAATGGTGTGGTGAGCAGCACCAGGGAAGTCATCCTGCCCTGTGCTCGGCACTGGTGAGGCCTCACCTGGAGTGCTGTGTTCAGTTTTGGGCACCTCTGTACAGAAAGGGCATGGAGGTACTGGAGCAGGTCCAAAGAAAGGCAACAAGGCTGGGGAAGGGCTTGGAGAATATGGCCTATGAGGAGAGTCTGAAGGAACTGGGGCTGTTTGGTCTGAGGAAAAGGAGGCTGAGGAGAGACCTTACTGCTCTCTTCCAACACCTGAAAGGTGATTGCAGCAGAGCGGGGCTGGTCTCTTCTCACTGGTGACAGGTGACAGGAGGAGAGGAAATGGCCTCAAGTTGCACCAGGGGAGATTTAGGTTGGATAGTAGGAAAAACTTCTATACAGAAAGGGTTGTTAAGCGCTGGAATAGGCTCCCAGGGAGGTGGTTGAGTCACCATCCCTGGATGTGTTTAAATGTGGTAGATATGGTTAGAGTGGTATAGTTTGGTTGTAGTTGGACTTGATCTTTAAGGTCTTTTCTAACCTGAGCAATTCTATGAATCTAACAAGACATTAAAGAAGTTATCAAGGAACAATGAAACTAAGATAGAAAACAAAGAGAAGGAGAAAAGAGCAACCTCAGTGAGAGAATAGGAGCTGCCTGTCATCTCTGCTAATTAGCAGTGTCTTTTCAGAGAAAATGAAGCCATGTTTGGATCGCTTATAACAAAACATTTCTTTGTTGAAGGCAGAGATGCTTTCAGGTTATCATGTTCTCCTGAAAGGATCCATATGTTTCACGTGTCTCCACTCTCTACGTACTGGCAGAGTTTATGCCTTTCATCTGTCAAGCCAGTCTTTAAGAACTGAACAGCAGAGCACAGCCGAAATGGCAGCATATGCTCGAACTCCATGGCCTCACGATGTCAATTCTTTTGCCTCAAGGACATTTGCGATTTCCTGAACTCATTGTAGGCAGTCTGGTGGCTGCTTCCCAGAAGATATCAGTGACACGTGCTGTTAAGAAATATTTTGACATGTACCAGAAAAAACGAGGTGGAAAACACAGGAAGTTCACATTTAAATTTGAAAAATATATATTACTCTCAATGAAGTAGAGGAGATTGACTCACACCAGTTTTGAAAAGGAATATATCTTCAATAGATTTTTAGTTCTTCTATTTCTCACTGCTCTAATCTAAATAAATTACATTATTTTTCCTGCACTGAGCCTGTTTTGCCCTTGAAGGTAATTGGTGAGTGATCTCCCTGTCCTTATCTCAACTCATGAGCTTTTTTTTCACTCTATTTTTTCCCCATCGCTCTGAGGAGGCGAAGACATCAGTGTGGTGGAGTAAATCTGACCATCAGTGTGAAACCACCACTCGAAGTCTCTGTAGATGTGCAATATGTCGACAGCTTTCATTTATTCCTCTTTTATTCTTATTAGAGCAATCGCCACAGAAATCAACCTGTGAGTGATGGTTGATCCCTTGACAATAATTTTAATAACTCACGTTATCATGTAACAGCATAAATATACTCTCTTACATCTCAAGGTGCTGCTCTAATGGGAACTTTTCTGTTACAAAAGCCACTGTTAGTGCACACGCCTGAGCTGCACGTCTGCCACATCCAGACCTGACCTAGCCACATGCATGCATCAGATTAGCAACTGTTTAGAGCCAACCATTCAAGCAAGGCATTCCTCAACATGTGGATGCTCCAGGGAAGTAACCATGTAGAAGGCATTATGCAGATCAGAAGGCTAGCATACACTTTTTTATGGAAATAAATAGGTGTAGACAGCTTCTTTCAGCAGATATTCTCCTTCTTTCAAGAATGCCAAACACTAGGAACAAGAGAGGTGAAGATAAATTTGTGAGCAACTTCTTCCTCTCCACACAATTTCTGTATTGCAAAGGTGACATGGCAAGCTCCTTGATTTGGTGCATAAAGGTCTATGTACAGAGCACTGTAATAACCTTTCATCTCTTTCCAGCATGTATAAGTGACTGTGCCCTGATTGAGGTATGGGGTGGTACAAGTCAGTGACACTGCTTCCTGGGCCCTCATCCCATGTAAACCTGCAAACGAGGAGAGAATAGTCCTGAAAACACATCCAAGTAGCACAAAGCTTGGCTGAGAGTAGACAGCTCCAAGAGAGCAACACTGGACTGCATTAGGAAGATGCTTCCTAATCACGGGCATTAAGGAACACAACATATAAACATAAGCTGAGCACCATGCTTAGGCAGCTGTTCTGGCTGCATGTATGACACTATTTGACATATGGCTATAACCAAGGGGAAGAAGTTAGAAGACTCAGTACAGATGTCTAGACCATTTAACGTGCCTTAGGGTATCTCACTTCACCTTCAGTTGCTGCTGTCAGCACTGGACTTTATGTTTGTCCTTTGTCAGGATATTTTGGACCCTGTAATGCACAGCTAATGGAAAAAGGCTTTTACACTTCAGCACTTGACTCATTTTCTAAGTTATATATCAAGTACATGAGCAACTTCTCAGACACATGACAGGACATTCTTTATGAAAGGGAACGCAATCCTGGTGCCACATTCATATTCACTGAAAAAAATGTGTGCATGA